CGTGAAATCAATTCTGTAGCAATTAAATAACCAGCCTACAAGGCATTTTAATAACCCAAGCGTTTATCTATATATAGCCCAGAGAAGGAAAGGTAATTAGAACTGACCTACTAGAGCTGGTGCATGGAGACAAGTTAGACAAATCAGTGCTTCATCATTACTTTAAGGAGGTACCACTAAATCTGCTTCATTCTTGATTCAATTCTTCTCAGTGACATGCTGTTGAGTCCTTTTATCTGATTCCTAACAGACTCTAAAATGGTTGTCATTATCTGGGATTTTGTTTCATTTTCTGTGAATTTAAGGCATCACTGAAATAGACTCTGTTTTTAGCTGTGGGATGATATTGTCACATGCACACAGCATTGGATGAAGTAGGCTTTTAAAGATATGAAAAGGCTCAAAGAAAATGACTTTCCAGATTCTCATCCATTTGAGTGTTTTGAGCTGAGCCCCACAGGTTGAAAATTTCTTGTCTAAGTGATTTAAGAAAAAAAATAACAAGGAATTGCCACAAGAGTCAAGGAAATTTTATTGTCTTTCTCTTTGAAAATTTAACTTACTACCTCAGATCTATAGCTTGTGTATGGGACAGTTATGGCAGGGTCTAAAAAGCACAGAATCTGGCTGTAAAAGATCCAACTCTAACTCGTGGCTCTGCCTCTAACTAGCTATCTGACGTCATTAAAATCCTGGAGCCTGGATTTTCTCACTGTATAATGGTAGTAAAAATACCACTTTTTGATTATAAGATGCACATTTTCTCCATTTTAGCAAATGAAGTTGAGATGCATCTTACAATGTATGGCTGCTTTTGATAATCCACGTTAGTGTTTGTGACCAAGCTACTGCATAGGACTGCCCAGAACTGTGAAGGTGAGTACTTACTTGGTCATGACCCTGTCACCACCTTCCCAACCCATCTCTCTGGCTGGTTTCACACAGTCCCTTTGTTCCAACTCCCTAAACCCAAGTTTGGAGGCCTCTGGACTGAGAACTCAGGAATTTAATATGGGGCAAGCATGGCGCAGGGCAAGGTAGATTTCCTTCATCTATTACCTAGTTCTATTACCTCTTTACTATGTTAACACACCTACTACAGACACTTCAAGTATTAAGTCACATAGAGAATACTTAACAAACTCATCTGGGGCGAAGGGAAAGAAAATACATTTACAATAAGCATAATAAAATTATTTCTAGGTAATTAAAACATATTTTGTCATGTGTTTTATTAGATAGAATTATTTTTTGCTTTAATAGTGGTACATTTTTAAAAAAGTACATTTGTAATGCTTGGCATGATAGATTCAATGAAATAGAGTACCTGCAGCAGGGTTAGATGAGATAATGTAGGTAAAAGTGCTTTGTAAATGACAGAAGTCAATCCAAATGAAAAATATGGTAGTAAGACACAGTCAGGAATCAGCTGAAAGATAACAAAAACCACTCTAGGTATTTTAAGCATAAAGGAAATTTTCAAGATTTCTACAGAATCAGTGGGAGGACAGAAGAGCAGGCTCTAGACATTTCTTCTGGGAAGGACCCTCAGAATACCAAAGTAGCGTTAGGCTATGAGGACCTTTGCTACCTCCACCACAGTCAGAAAGGTGGGGAATCAGGAAGTTATCTCTGCAAGCGTTAACTCCAAAAATATGCTATCTTAACTACACTCCAGAGATTAGGGAATTACCACCAGGATTGTTCACTCCAGAGCCTGCAACATACCAGATAAATAAATGTCTCATACTCCATGGCCTTCTTTTCCACTAACACAACTAATGACAGGTCACAGGGTCCTGTGCTAACACAGTCACAGAAACACCCACTGCTTCCATGACCATGCTTGACAGCAAAAAACAGAAGAAGCACCTGAAAGACAATCTCAGATTTATTTCTCCCTTTGCATTTCAGGGGGGTGCACCTAACTAGCCAAACCTAAATCACACTTAGACCCTTAGCTACAAAGAAGTCTTAACTGTAGTTTCCAGTTTTACAGCATCAGAATATGAGGAGGCACACTAGATTGAGGGAGAAATAAATGTAAAGAGACAATTTAGAGGATTTGGGGAGTAGCAGGAGACCACATCTCCCTCCCACCCTTAAAATGAGAAAACCTACACAATAATAGTTTTCTTTAAAAATCCAACCAAGAGCTGGGATTTAAAATCTGTCCCATTGCCTGTGTTTGTGTGATCTACAAGCTAAGAATGTTTTTCATATTTTAAAGGATGGAGCAACATAAGAAGAAGAATGTGTGATAAGGGCGCCTGGGTGGCTCAGTCAGTTGGGTGTCTGACTTCAGGTCAGGTCATGATCCTGGGGTCCTGGGATCAAGCCCCATGTCTGGCTCCCTGCTCAGCAGGGAGTCTGCATCTCCCTCCGCCTCTGCTCCTCCCCCCTCTTGTGTATATTCTCCCTCTCAAATAAATGAGTAAAATTAAAAAAAAAAAAAAGAATATGTGGTAGACCATATGTGGCCACAAAGCCACACACAACAAGAAAATTTTGCTGATCCCTAATCTGGAGGTTGGCATCTGAGACTTCCTTGATTTGTGTCCTAATGAATTTCTGACCTCATCTGTAGAACACAATGTCCAGCCATAGCACGCTACTTAAAGTTACCCAAAAACATGTTTTGCTTTTAATATACCCACAGCTTTCAACATGCTATTTCTTTTGCCTACCATGACATGATCAGATGCTTATTTCAGAAAATTAACTCTGGTGACTGTTCCAGGGATGGGTTTTGATAGGTTGTAGGGATAAAGGTGGGATCAGGACAGGATTCAGGAAGAAGGTCAGTGGTTCAGGGAATGATAACAAAGGTCTGAAAAAAGCACACATGATGGTGTAGTGGAGAAAAATAAGAAGGTTTTGTCTTAGTTTAGGATGCTGTAACAGGTATCATAGACTAGGTGGCTTAAACAACAAATATTTATTTCTCATAGTTCTAGAGAATGAAAGTCTAAAATCAGGGTGCCGGCATGGCTAGATTCTTGGTGCGAGCTCTCCTCTTAGTTCACAGACAGCTGCCTGCTCACTCTTACCTCAACGTAGCGGAAAAAGAAAGCTCTGGTCCCTACATCATCTTATAAGGGCACAAATCCCATCCTGGGGGCTTCACCCTCATGACTTCATCTAAACCTGATTACCCCCAATATCATTACATAAGGGATTAGAGCTTTAACATACTAATTTGGGGGACACAATGCCTAGTCTATAGCATATATGGAGCATATTTATTAGTTATGGGGACCAAGGAGTGTAGGAAGCCAACAAAGCTTGGGAATGTTGTAAGAGTATGAATGGTACTATTGGCATTCACAGTAAAGCAGTTCTGGGAGGAAGATAATGGGTTCAACTTCCTAGCTCTTGCATTTGTAGTTTCTGTGTGATGCATCCATGTGTAAATATCTTGTAAGCAGTGAGACATAATATTCTGAAATTGAGTGAAAGGTCTACATTGAAGATAGAGTTTTGAATGACTGATTTAGCACTACGAGTGTAGACAAGATCATTGTGGTCAAGACTGGAACCCAAGGAACACTAACCTACATGGGGCAAAAGAAGTAAAGCTGCCAATGAAGGAGACTGAGAAGTAATCAGAATAAGAAATAACCAGGACAAAACGGTGGCAACAGAAATGACATAAAAAAGAGTATGTTTCATGGTGCCAAGTGCTGTAGAAAAATCTGGACCAAGAAAGATTGAGAATTGTTACTGAATTGGCCATTAGACAGTATCAACAGGATATCACCATTCTCCTCCTGGGGTCTGGGAATTAGGGAAGTGCAGAAAACAAGTATAGGCTCATCAGAGAACTACACTATAATTGTTAAGAGCTCTAGATTCAGACAGTTGTGGCTTTATATTCTGGATCAGCTCCTTATTTTCTGTGTGACCTAATTTACTTACCTTTTCTAGATGGCAGTTTCCCCATCTTTAAAATGGAAACTACACTAATTACATATGACTATTTTGAGATGTTCATAAAATAATAGATGTTAAAGTGCTTAAAATGCATCAAATATTTAATAATCAATATAAATTATTATTTATCAAATACTATCAAAGTTGTGGGTTTTTAAGAAGACAGGATGATAGCCACAGGGGCCCAAGATCAAAAGAAAAATGTAGTTTTCAGTTTTGAAAAGTAGGAATACTTATAGACTATAGACTTGATGTTTGTAGAAATAGAGCTTATAACTGATCAAGTATACTCCTAAAGGATATAGAAAAGGATAAAGTCAAAAGCACAGCTGACAAATCAGAATCAGTTTTGAAAAAAATTCAGTTCATAGGTGCGTATGTATGAGAGAAATGTGGAGTGGGAGTAGAGTTGAAAGAGGAAAGAGATATTGGAAGATGAGGGAGTTCCCCTCTGGTTAATAAAATTACTGAGAAAGCCAGTTTAAAGCTTCCCAAGAGACCCATCTATATGAGGTGTTAAAATATCACTGGAAAAAAATTATTCTTACCTGAACTTCTCTCAAAGAGAGACTGCAGTATTATATGTGAAGAAGGCAAATTTGATTGTTTCTTGAGGCGGGGGAAAGTAAGACATCCTTCTCTTAGTCGGCAAGGCTTGTCTCAAGTATTAACAGAAGGTGGTTAAACTACTTTCCAAGAAGGGAGGCTCTGATGACCTGATGTGCGAGTCTGGGGCCAGAGTGGAAATCCATGGAATAACAGAAGAAAAGCTGAGCTGGCACCTGCCCTTGCTGGTGCTATCTGAACAGCACTGGTTTGAAAGGCTCTAAGGCACCAGCCTGTGTGGGGTGCTCAAATCTTGGCGTCCATTAGGAATGGAAATTTTCTGGAGAAGATCCAAGTGATGGGAAGTGGGTTAGGGTCATTGAAGAGTCGTGGAGGTGATGAGAGATTCTGTGAGAAATGTGAAACAGCAAGGGAAGTTAGAAACTATACAGGGGCTTGATCCAACAAGAGAAAAGGGAAAGATCAAGTGACCAGAACTCTCTGTACTTTCTTACCTTCTCTTTAAGGTCTTCCATTTTGCCAATTCCTTCTGCTGATTTTCTTTGAAACTATGTCTTCCTTCCCTCTTTCTTCCCCCTCTTTGCCACTCCACCTCATCCTTGGCCTTTATCTTAGTTCAGTATCCACCTGGGTGCACTGCTTCGCTGAGCTCTGCAGGTGAACACTGGCTTATTTGGTCTTATTGGCAGGATATCATGCTTTCCTTTGTGCTGGGCAGAAAGGAATGATAAATTCCAATTTCAATGACCAAAAAATGTAGTCTAACGTATTTAAATGTGTCTTCCTTTTCATACATACATAGTTTGGCTCTCATATTTTGCTCAGTCCCCTCTCATAGACTTGCCCATATCAAAGCCCTTTCAGTCGATCCAGTATAAGAAGAATCAAGCAGTTTGTGTTAAACATGTATATTCAAGCCAGAGAATTAACTTCAAAATAAGACATTTCCTAGGAATAATGACTGTTATAGTTAATGACCTGTAGCATTCGGTCTGTCAACTCCTCCCCGCTGGTTAGTACTCCCTTAGGAAATGCCCAGTGTCTCAATCATTATTGACTAATTACTCCAGCTTTCCTGGATGCTTCTGTGTTTCTATGACATCACACCTCCAACAGCTGTGTTTGGTTATCCACTAACCAAATGCTGTTGTCTAATTTCAGATCCTTCCAGACTAATATTGATTGATGCTTTAGTTTACTTTCACATAATTACCAAAAATTTTTTTTTAAAGAAATAAGAATATACCATAAAGTGCAACTTCCCACACAATGCAGGCTTTCTCTCTGAGATAACTATCTACGAGTCCTGGAATACTAAGCAAGTTAACTAACCTCTTTTGAGATTCATCTCATCATCTCTAAAATAAGGATAATAAGGGGCGCCTGGGTGGCTCAGCTGGTTAAACGTCTGACTCTTTGTTTCAGCTCAGGCCATGATTTCATAGGTTGTGAGATCGAACCCTGTATCAGGCTTCACACTCAGCTGGGAGTCTGCTTGAAGATTCTCTCCTTCTTGCATGCTCCCCCGACTTGCGCACACACACACACACACACACACACACACACACACACACACTCTTTCTCTCTCTCTAAAATAAATAACTCCTTAAAAAAATAAAATGAGGATAATAATAGCATCTGCTATCACAGGGATCTTGTAAGAATTAAAAGACAATGCAGAGAAGGCCTGTAGAACAGTGTATGATAGACAATAAGTATTAAGTAAGTGGTAATTTACTAAAAAATAAACTGGTATTTACTATTTTCTTTGCTACAAATGCAGAAGGCACATAGAATGGGTATAGAAAACTTTGCACTGTTTACATGCTCACCTCAATGCCAATATTTTGGGCCCTTTCTCCTAAAACAAATCCAAAAAAAGATTTACACAATGCTCATGGCTCTTAGTTCTGAGGAGGAATATAAGGAAGAAAGGGGGGAAAATCAGGACAGATTTTTTTTCTCACACAATCAGTTTTTGAGTGTAAAATTGCTTAGCCAGCTGTGCATTTTATGGCCTCCATTGCAATAATGATCTAGAAATCATGACAAATTCCATTTGAGTATGGCCTTTAAAAACTTGCTTCTATGTATTATCCCATATTATTTTCCAAAAAGCGCTGAGAAATAAATAGGTAAGATATTATTGCCCTATGTTGGGTATTAAAGAGGGCACGTTCTGCATGGAGCGCTGGGTGTTATACGCAAACAATGAATCATGGAACACTACATCAAAAACTAATGATGTAATGTATGGTGATTAACATAACATAATAAAAAAAGAAAGAAAGGAAAAAAAAGATATTATTGCTCTGTTTAACAGAAAAAGGAATGAGAAGTTAAGACTTGATCTACCTAAGTGCAGAGTGCATGATTAACACCCGCTCAGTGCTGTCATATGACCTCACACTCATTTCAATTCCATGGTGGTCCACAAGCCACCCAGAGCTTCCCAAACGATCATGCCAGTGGGAACTGAGCTCCATGTGCATACTAAAAATGCATTGAAAGTGAAGGAGAAAGAAAACAGAGTGAGGATGTACAAAATTGTATACTTTGACCAAATTATTGCCTTTCTCTTCTTTATCAGTAGCTCTCAAATGTGGCCACTGAAAGTGGTGAATGACCTGAATGAAAAAATCATGAGGTGAAGGTTCTGATGTTTTCAGACACAGATTTGTACACTCAGACTAAAGAATTAAAATTGTCTGGTGATGAGTTTGAGGCCACAAGCCCAGTGGGAAGAGTGGTAGCATGGAAGCCAGCTGGCTAGGATGCTCTGTGCCAGTCCAACACAGCTTTCTAAGAGACAGGTGCCACTGAAGTGGCCATGGCTCTGTGGTAATGTACCCTTGGGAACAACAGTGCCCTTCGGAGTAGAAGAGCTGTCATCTCTGTCATCTCTCCCCGTGTCCCTCTCCTATCCGCCTCTCATACCAACAACTTGGCCTCCCTGAAATTTGGTAGAAGAAATAATAGCCTAGGAACTGAAAAGACTCAAACATGCCTCATCTCATGTGATCTGTTATGTGAATCATTGTAAGTCAATGACCTGAGCATTTTTTTAAATTTACAAAAATCCTATTATACCCTTTAATAGGGTTCTTTTTTGAATAAAAATGATTCAGTGCTTTTAAGTACAAGATCCTTGCTGCTTATAAATGCCAGTTGGAATCTCACAAGTGTACTAAGTTATAAATGTAAGAGTAATAGACTTTTGATGGAACTGCAGAACTGTATATATTCTTTTAAATCATAGGAACAAAAATATACAGCTCCCAATTGTTATAAATAAAATCACAATAATTTACCCCTAGGCTATCATTTCAACATTTTTAAGCCAATGCGTTAAAGGAAAACATATTATGAAATTTTTATGTGTTAATAACTTAAAATAGTGGCACTATTCATTTCACCGAAATGTCTGAATATAGCTTTTCACGTAGAATTTACTCCATGTCTAAGTACCAGGTAAGGTCACAAAAGAATTACTTAACAGTAAGAGCCTTGGTTCCCATTTTAATTTCTGTATGAAACTCCTGTTGACCTGAAAGAAAGTACAGTTGAAATGGGCAAGTGCAGTTGGATCCCAATAATGGCAGGAGAATTGTTCAGCGTGAAATTTCAAGCCATAAAAAGCATATAATTTACTACTGTAAATATTTTGAAAATTAGGATCTGACTTATTTGCTTTAGAAAGGAAAAAGACCTTGGGAAGAGAGGTGATGTCAGGAAGATTTTTATATTGCTTATCAAAATGATTTCATAGTTAGCCTTGCCATGCTAAACATGCCCTTCACTGAGAAATACCAGCCCAGGAACAAACTCATTTCCGATAAAGCTGATGCAGCTGTTTGATGCACAGAGGCACTCATAAGGATTCCAGAAGCAGGAGTAGTGTTTATTCAGTATGCTGGCAGAAAAGAATCTTTCATTTAGATGCTCAGATCATATAATGAGATTTACCGAAAAGCAACGGTGGCACCAGAAGCTGTCAAGATAAAAACAAAGGGATGGAGACTTCATTTTACATCAAGCAAGCCATTATCTCCTTACAATGGGTTCATAAAAACAGACTAGTTATGCACAGAAGCAGGGGAATTTTGATGGGTCAGTCTTGTGGCCCATAGAGCTCACTCTTTTCATATCGATATGGTAATAACATACTAGTGGATGATGTGAGAAGAGTTTGTTTCTCTATCATTAAGAGGTAATGATTTTGTGTTCACTACTCCATCAGTGGTTATTCAACTAAGAAAGGTGGTGTGTGTGTGCGTGTGTGTGTGTGTGTGTATGTGTATGTGTGTGTGTTAGGGGGAGGCGTTCCATCAAAGCATAGGCACAGGAATGGTATCAGAGGAATATGTGGTCTAGTCCACACAATAGTCATGAAAAATAAGCCATGGTTGTTCTGAATTTGGGCCCTATCCAATTTAATTGACTATCCTCCTGAGATGACAATATCAACTCTCTCTCCAGGGTGTGAAATTTAGTATCTTTTTTTTTTTAACATAGGCTCCTTGCCCAGCGTGGAACCCTATGTGGGGCTTGAACTTACAACCCTCAGATCAAGACCTGATCTGAGATCAAGAGCCAGATGCTTAACCAACTGAGCCACCCAGGTGCCCCTGAAATTTAGTATCTTTAACCAAATTTTTTTTGAAATCAGTGGGCTCCACTTCCCTAGATAATGCTGTGCATTGAGCAGAATTTATTTTCAGGGCTTGGATGAAGCGACAAGCATCTCTCCAAAGTAGTGAATCTTTTCTCTTTGGGGCAGTGTGACACAAACTGAAAGGAGACAGTAAGAGTTTCCTTTCTTGGCCCGTGGGCAGAATTGTGATGAGCAGATGCCAAGTTGTGGGCCGTCCTTTGTGAGCCTAGCCCCACTTATTCCTAATCCAGGCCAGGTGGCCTTTGAAACAAAGAGTTAGAAGCTTTCTAAATGGAAGACAGTGTCCTGGCTGGAAGAAAGCACACTGACAAAGTCAAAGGGCAGAAGTTGCATCTTATCTGCTCTGAGAAGGACTTAGCACTTATTAGAGATGCCAATTAACTCCCTACGCAGCAATGTAAGAAGTGAACCAGAACAGCAAAAATGTATAAAGGTTGCAAAGCACATTGGCAGACATTCTAAGACATTAACCTCTACAAAAAGAAAAAAAATAAGAAAAAGAAAGAAAGGGAAGAAAATCTTCCTTCACTGTAAAGGCCACTGCAAAGGAAAATGGCTATAGAAATTTACTCTGGAAAATCAGTCACTTTGAAAAAAGAGTCCTTTCTCAAATCATTCTAAATACCATGTCTCTGGAGACAATTTTTACTTCATCTTTACCATGACCGAGACCACGACTTTGATTCTGGCTGTGAAAATTTTGCTTAAAATCTAATGCAGAGGATGTGAAGGGGCACAACAGTATAGAATTTATACTAAGGCTTAAAGCCTTGAACAAAAGCTCTGGGCCCACGCAGGGGGAGAAAGTCCTAATTGACCAATTATATGAGGAATCCTTCAAAGTTATAAGAAGGAAGGCAGGAAGGATGGAAAAGAAAGAGAGATGGCAACTCAAAAGAGCAATAGCCACAAATCTATAAATACTAGAGGAAGTAAGAACATAATCATAAATTAAAGTAATTTTAATTCAAAAACCTTATACCAAAGAGTCAGATTCAACTATCGCCTTTATTCAGGTTAGTCATCTTCAGGTCT